CACTTGCCAGGCAGGCGCTTTTGCCGCTGAACTAAATCCCCAGTCCCCTGTAATTACAATCTTGACACTGCTCAGTGGGAAGCTGGCAGCAGGCCTGCACCCCGTGTCATTTACCTTTCCAATGATCTCTTCTCTCGGTTCTTTGCTTACCAAGAAGCAATTGCTTTGCTGTGTTTTGAGGTTCATGTATTGAAGTGAAGAAGGATGGAAGGAAGGTTCCGGAAAAAGCATTAAGGGTCCTGTGAATAATTGGGGAACCTCCTAAGAATGTTTCTCTGCTTGTTAGTTCTGTGGCAGCCATTCATTTTGACCGTAAAGGCCAAAGTAGATATAAATTCTGCCCTGGAGCTCGCCGGGCCCAAGTCCTATCAACAGGGATTAAGTCCACTGGGAGTTGTTCCCATGGTGTTTGGAGTCAAGATTGGGACCAATGGAGGAAGAGGAAAGGGAGAGGAGGGGAGGACGCAGGGATCGGTTGGAAGAAAGACGACACCTCATTGGTTCTTTGGAGCGGAGGACACGGGCCTTGTGGGAACTCTGAAGCTCAGCAGTTGGGGGGAAATCATTGGCGGCTTGGAATTCTGGTAAGCCTGGAACTTTGGGCCCAGTGCTTCTTCATGCAAGGATGGGGGTGACGGTATTGAATACTGTAATCCCTTACCATACTCAGCGCTTTTGGCTTGAGATTGAACTTTGTCCCGTAACTTGCTGGGGCTCACTTCTGCAGTCTGCAAAAGCGTGAACTGATGGAACCGCTGAGCTTTTTTTCTGAGCGCCTTCTGCAACTCTGCCTCACCTCAGATTTTCCAGCGATATCAGATGTTCAGCACCGCGCTTGGGTGGGGAAGATCTGGATCCCCTTGATGCTTTTTGAGTGCAGAGGTAATTATTTGGGGTAGCTGTTCTGATGATAGCGCGCATGGAGGCTTAGCCTGCAGTGCGGAGCTCTCTAATCATGATTGCCTGTAATGATGATTACCCAAACTCTGGAATTATAACAATAGATTTTGCAAAGTTAGAGCATAATTGCTCCCCCCATTCCACATGTGAGCACAGATTAAGCAACTTTGATCTTTCAGTCAGACTTTTGTTTCTCAACTTTTGAAATAGCAAAAGTCAGACGCTTGGCTTTCCGCCACCCCCTCCACCCCACCCTCACATCCCTTTTCATCATAGCGAGGCCCAGCCCTGTTAAAGCAAGACATCTGTTACAGACGCAAGGGCTAAGGTTGGGTGAAGCAGACAGAGTACACACCTGTGGCATTCGGGTCTCAGCCCTGCTGTCTAGAAACCAAGGCGAGTCTTCGACCTCACTGAGATTCAACTTCTTCAATCGTCAATACCCACCCCCCCAAAAAAAAAGTCAAGACCTACCTGAATCATTGCATTAGGAGTGAACATAAAGCACCTAATCGATGCCCTGAACTCAGAGGCAGTCAATAAAACTATCCATGTCGTTATCCTCCTCCGCCTTCTCCTCCTCCTCCTCCTCTTTCTACTCCTCCTCCTCATCATTTCTACTACAAATTTGCAGGCTTTGAGGTCTTCAGAACCCTTCTGAGTCTTTGGATTTTGTTGCCGTTCCTTGACATACAAGTTCACTTGGAGTTAGAGATCAGGGATATCTGGAGTTAGTGCTATTTTCACTAAATTTGGCACAGAAGTTCCCAAGGTATTAGTATGAAAGAGGAAAAAAGAAGTAGGCCTCCTAAGAGTGGACACCCCGGCCCGGCACTGGGGAGCCCGGAGGAACGCCTGTGCCACACCCTGCTGAAAGGGCTCAGCACCGGGTGAGTCTGAGTAAGATCTTCCCCGGCGCTCTGCATGTCGAAGGTCTGCGGTCCCCCAGGGCTTGGCACTTTGAGGACGCTCTGGCGGTCTGGGAACAGTGGTTCAAGGACCTTGTGTGCCTTCCCTCTGCCCCAACCCAGACACTGCTGCTTGTGTCTGCGAGTCAGTTTGTGATTTAACAACACAATAAACTGCTTTGGGTGGCCCAGCCCTGGCGGCCACAGCCAGCAGAGCAGACCTGATTTTTCAGGGAGGAAAGGGTCAGCCACAGAGCTGTTGACCATCTCGGTGTCTGGGTTTGAGTGTTTCGTGCCCCCCCCCACAACAACCCCCCCCTCCTCCGTCCACACGGGCTTAGTGGGCTCCGGCTGGCGCCTGCCCTGTGCTGCCTCATACAGGAGCCACCAGAATGATCAATGAGGCAGCCGGGACCTCCCCTGGCCTCCGGTGAATCAGCTGCACTCTGTCCCCTTCTCCACCGAGCAGGAAGCACTCAAGCTGAGCCCAGCCGGGGCCAGCTCGCGTCTGGCTAATGGCTTTTCTGTTTGTGCCTCAACCTTGTCCCATATATTTTTCATATGTGAGTGGGTTGGAGCTCCCGGAGACTGTTGGCCTGAACACATAATTTTTCTGTAAACTCCCACCAAAGCCCTTGACAGGACTTTGGGTTATGAGGGTCTACTTCTGACGTGACAACCCTTTCTTCAAAAAGTGAAGTGATGTTCACATAGCATGGAGTTAACCTTTCTCTTCCTTTTTCATGGTGCTGAGGATTGAACCCAGGGTCTTACCTGTGTAGGCAAATGCTCTACCACCGGGCTATACCCTAACCCTAAATTAATTGTTTTAGAATGAACAATTCAGTGGCATCCAGCTTAGTCATAATGTACAACACCCCTCTATCCAAAACACGTCCACCACCCCCCAAAGAACCCTTGGACCTACTGTACTCGTTTTTTTTTTTTTTTTCCAGTACCAGGAATTGAACTCACGACCTTGCACTTGCCAGACAGGCGCTGTGCCGCTGAGCTAAATCCCCAGCCGCCTGCATGCATTTTTTAGGGCTGCATATCAAGATGCCTCATCCTGGTGGCTTATCTGTGGAAACTTACTGTCTCACAGTACCGGAGACCGGAAGACTGAAATGAAGGTCTCTCCAGGGTTGGTCCCATCTGTTTCAGGCTCGGTCCTTGACTGTAGGGGGCGCTGTCTCCTCAGATCATCTTCCTTCTCCATCTTCCCCTTTCCCTGAAAAGTTCCGTTTCTCTCATAGAAGCCCTAGTCACCTTGGATTCGGGCCCATCCTGATGACCTCATGTGTAATCTGAACCTCTGTAAAAGTCCTAATTCCAAATAAGGCCACATTCTATGGGGCAAAGGGTTAGGACTTCACTATATGAACTTTGAGGGACTCTGACCCATAACACCCATTAAGCAGTTTCAGTATATTAGTAGTACTTCATTCCTTTTCACGGCTGAATAGTACTCCATCACGTGTAAACCTTTATTTTGGGAACAACAAGTACCAAACACCTGACAGTGAAGTCTCGGTGGGTGGCCGAGCTGCCCAGTTTCCCGTGCCAGGTGTATGTGCCCGAGTATGTCGGGTGGAGCACTGATCTCCCAGGTCTCACAACTCACAAGTCTCCCATCTGTGAACATGTTCTTACTGTCATATTTGAAAGACTCAGTCTTTGTGGACAAAAACAAAAGCAGTGCTGGACCAAGGGGAAGGCAGGTCAAGTTTCTGATCCCATGATGCCTTGTAAAAGGGGTTTTATCCTCCTTCCTCCTCCTGCCCTTATCCCCAGCCCTTCTCACCCCTCCCCCCAAGTGGACAAATACACTCAAGGCGTTTTAAAATACAGACCCTGTGCAGAAGGGCGTGGTCCAGATAGGACAGGCAGCTCTTTGAGAAGACCCAGCCACTCCCGGGCTGCTGTTGTCATGGTTACTGGGCCCGGTCCCTGGGGCTGGATGCAGACTAGAGACTGGGAACTTCTTCGCACTTCCCTCCCCAAACCCGCCTGGGCGTAAAGGAGGGACCTTCGGCCTGAGGTTCTTTCAGCCCTGGTTGTGACAGCGCTGCAGCCGCTGCCGGTACGGTTCACCCGGCTCTTTAATTTAAAATCTGCCTTTCCCTCTGACGCACGTAGACAGGGAACCTGCATCTCTGCTGGCTAGGGCCTCTTGGGGCCAGCTCAGGGCCCCTCTCCCCGACCCCACAGGTCCCTGCGGGAACGACCCGGGCCTCTGCTGGGTCACACCGAATCTGCAGGCAGCACCGCAGCAGGGTGACGTCGTCCTGCCTCCTGACCCCAAGCAGACATGTCCCTCTTGCGAAAGTTATTTTATTCCCTCCTGTCATCTGTCCCTCTATCAAATTAGTTTTGTCACTTGAAAGTCCCCTGGGGAAAGCAGTGCCTGCTGGCCCTGGGATTTTCAGACGGGCATGAAGGAGAGTGAAATAACACAGGGGGTAAGGGCAGGACAGAAAGGGTTCCTAGCGTTTGTTGCTCCACTTTTGTGATTCTGGGGTAAGACGTGTGGTTCTGGGAGTTGCCTGCGAGGCTGCGTGCCGAGTGGAATTGGGTGCAAAGTAGTCGAAGGTGCTGACGGTGCACCTCGGTGTGATGTGGCTTCTGGCATGCAGGTTCTTAGCCTCGGCCCGCTCGTGGTAGAACCCAGCGTGTAGAGCTTTTCAAAGCTCCCAGGCGAGCCGCTGTCCAGCCACCTGTGAGAACTGCTGCTCCGGCAAGGGGCCTCCAGGAGAGACGAACGCACTGGAAAGGGAGGTCCCGGAGACAGGCGGTGCTGAATACACAGTGCCCAGAATGCTGCTAAGTCAGCGGAAAGGGCAGCAGAAATGACACACCCGAGCCTGCCTTTGACCGAGCCAGATAGGATGCTAGCCCCCCAGCCCTTGTAGAGCCGGAATGAAAGGTAGACAGACTCTGGGACCCCCTTTCTCTGCGGCTACCCCGGGGCTGGTCTGTCGCTGCCGCGGGGACGCAGAATGGTCCCAGGATGGCGCCATGCCTGCCTGCTGCTCACAAGGGTCCCCCTTCCCCGAGGAAAGTCGCCTTAGGCCCGCGTGGCTGCCTTCGTGTCTCCGCAGAATGTGATTAGCTGCTCCCCGCACCGTGGGAGGGGGTTCGTCAGAGGCGAGCTAAGGGCTGACCGCCCCGTCTCCTCTTTGTGCTTTGCAGTACAAAATCGGACAGCTGTACATGATCAGCAAGCACAGCCACGAGCAGAGTGACCGGGGAGAAGGGGTGGAGGTCGTCCAGAATGAGCCCTTCGAGGACCCCCACCACGGCAACGGACAGTTCACCGAGAAGAGGGTGTATCTCAACAGGTAGGTCGCAGCGGCCCAGAATGCACTAGGAGCTCCCTCCGCCTGACTATGGCACCCTTGAGGTGAAGGCTGACGGGGAGGATCTGAGAAAGAAGGTGATTTGGAGTCAGGTCTGCCCTCTGCATCCACCAATCTCATTGTTTCCCAAAACAAAATCCACGCTGCCCACAACCTGGCATTCTGAGAAATAGGCCTCAACTGCATTTTCATCTGGAAGTGGTTTTGTCTTTTTGAGATAAGGTCTCACTCTGCAGTTCAGGCTGGCCTGGAACTCACTATGTAGCCTAGGCTGGCCTCGAACTCACAAAGATCCTCCTGCCTCAGCCTCCCAGTACTGGGATTATAGGCATGTGCCACCGTGCCTGGCTTCATCTGGGAGCATTTTTGTCCTACTGTTCCTGGCCCTTGCATAACACTAGGTGAAATCTCATCTTAAGGCTGAGAGAACTCTGGCTTTTCCCCTTGCTCAGTGTTAGCTGTAGGAGAGATGGCTGTGCCTATAAATTATAGGAAAGTGCTGCAAGTGGCGATGTGCCTTTGGGTCTTGACTTACTAGAATTTCCAGTTACTGGTAAGTGACCAGTCAGGTTCCTTCAAAAGGAAATGAAGAAATGGACAGTCCCCTGTGAGCAGAGTGATGTCCAGTTGCTAAGGTGGCTTCCATTGCTCACGTGAATCCATCCTTCCTATAGTGGAAGCTGTTGTTCTCCATTTGGAGGATAAAGCATCAAGCGTCCTACATCAGAACTAACCAAGACCACCATTTCTGCTTTGCAAACCCTTTAATCTCTTATATTTCCTTATCACGGAGGGGGCACAACTGAGTATTAGAGCTTGTCTGATCTTCCCGCCCGGTACCCAAATCCAGTCTGTCTTCTTCCATTCGGTGATTTTCCGGATCAGAATAGTTTTAGTGAGATAACACATGGGATATATTTTCTTGCCCCTAACTCTCTATCAGCGAATCAGTCTTGTATTAGCCTTTCTATGAATACTTTAACTACCTCCCGTTGGCTCCCTGATTGGCCCATTTATGAGTATTCAGAAACAGTTCCAACATACTAGCTGCATAGTGCTCCCCTGTTTGTTCACTGACTCCTGTGAATATTCAGCATGACCAGATGTTTCTGAGAGAAGCCATATTTGGATTCCACCCCTCTCACACTGGTTCACTCTCCAGCCGGCTGATGTGGACCATTCTGTCCTGACGGGAGACTCCGGGTCCTCTCCACCAGGCCGGATGGAAGATTTCCAGACAGCGAAAGCCTCAGAATGATAAAAACCAATGCATTTTCATCTGTCCAGGGATGCGGGGGAATTCCTGAGTCATGATGAAATGCAAATGAGATTGATCACATTCATCTATCAGAAGTTATGAATTCTCAGGATTTGGAATGGGTTCAGCCTCCAACCAGCTATAGATCTGCAGGAGTCACTGAGCTCTGGGTCCGGCCTGAGGAGGGCTTCCTTACGGAGGCAGATTCTCAGATTCTCAGATTCTCGCTGTGCTGCTTTGGTATTCTTCATGCAGAGGGTGTGAAGTAAATACTGAGCAGGTTTCCCCTCAGGGATCACCTTTGCTGAGCTAGGAGGGAGGCAGATTCGGGGAAATAGAAACCATGGAAAATTCCATTCCTTGGCAGTAGATCGCATTCTCTTTACTGACTGCCTGAGAAATGTCCCCTGTACACCCAAATCAAAAACATTTTAGAAACTTTGTAACTTTTGCTGCAACCGAAAACGAAGTATCCAGCTGCCTTTGGCTGGTCTCTATCAAAATGTATGATGTTTATTTTAAAGGAGGGTCATAAACATGAGTAAGAGGGAAACTTTATAAATAGAACGTGTGGGCTTCCAGTAATAGTAACTAAAAAGATTAATGTGGACCCTCCCCCACTTCCTAGGACAAGCACAGGATGAAATAAAACAATATAAAGCTGAGCTAAAAACAAAGAGAGAGGAAATCCTCAGGTGCTAGGGACAAAGGGGGACTTAGCCAGAGTGGGGAACAGAACAGTGAGGGCTGACCACGCCAGGGAACGTCAGAACCGCGTGAAAGCCCTGGCACATGGGCTGGGGGGTGTCAAGCCCATAACACGGTAGGAAGTGTGGCTTCGGGCCCCCACAAATAGGGCGTGAGAACTGAGATTCAGGCATAGAAATGCCTTTGGCCAATCAAGGGCTGGGAGAAGTTACTATCTAGAGACCCACACTGACAGAACTACTGAAGGGTTTAAGAAACAGCCCAGGAGCTGGGCTTAGTGGCGCACACCTGTAATCCCAGCTCTCGGGAGGCTGAGGCAGGAGGATCGTTCCGAGTTCAAGACCAGCCTGGGCTACAAAGTGAGCTCAAGGCCAGCCTGAGCTGCATAGATCTTGTCTCAAAAAGACCAAAAAAAAAAAAAAAAAAAAAACCAGCCCAGGGAAAAGATAAGGAGGCATCTATTTATTTGCACAAACAAATTGATAAGCATCTGGGCAAGTCTGAATGAACGCAGAGCATTTTAAAAACACTAATAATGACTTCTTGAGGGTACATTTATAGAATCTCAACAATAACTCAGAAGATAAAAGGGTAGTAATTATAGTAAAACAAAAGCCCACCAAGATGCTAATACTGTTTAGGAATTGGAGGAATCAGTTTATTATTTTAGACTCCTTAAGGCAAGTATGTATATTTACGATGTAAATTACAATGTAAATATAAACCCCCCCACCCCAGCACACACACTGTTGTTCGAACCCAGGGCCTTCGGACTGAACTCCACCCCCAGCCATTTTTTAATCTTTCTTTTGAGATAGGGTCTCACTAAGATGCTCAGGCTGGGCTTGAACATGTGACCCTCCTGCTACCACCTCCCAGACTGTGGGGATTATCGGCTCACACTACTTTTCAGTTTGACAAAGCTAGAGGTAACTTCTGAAGAAATATTAAAACAATAAATCACTTTTAAAAGAAAACATGATCAATCCACAGACGGCACAGAAATAAAAAGAGAAGCCAGCTGGGGCCACTGCTCCTGGGCGGCCTGTTTGCATCACATACATAAGGCCTTGGGTTCAACACCAGTACCTCAAAGAATAAAGAATGGAAAATATAACACATGATGGCAACATAAATCAAAATGTCAGCTCCTCACTTCCCCAGTCACCATGTGACCTAGTTCTGGCCAATAAGATGTAAGACTCCCCTCCCTGATAAAAATGAAAGTTGTTCGGGAGCTATCTTTCCTAGTCAAGAGGGCATGTTCTGCTTATAAGAAAGCGTTATGAGGAAAATAGCTCCCAACCTGTCAGATGTCAGATGTGCCGAGTTCACGGTCCCACAGCATCAAGGAATGAAGCCATGAACCGAAGCAGGAATTTAGGAGAGTTTTATTGGAAATAAGGAGGAGAATAGCTCCTAGATTTCAGGAGAGGTCCTGAGAGGGTAACCGCGGAGGCTCGTTGTCAGAAGTATTTTATACAAGTCGCATCCTGGGTACAGCATGGGTCAAACTACAGTCAGCTAAAGGATTACAGGTGTAGTGGCGTAGCTAATATTGACTCAGGAGGGAAGCAAGTTGCAAAGCAAGAGTAAGTGTAAAGGACAAAGACATTGCTGGAGAGGGTTGGGAGGATGGACCCAGATGTTCTGGCCACCCACCTGGGGTGTGAGGCTAGCTGAGCCCACAGGGCCAACTGGTGCTGGTTACAATATAATATTGCAGTATAATCTCGAGCCACAGTTTTGATGTCTGTATCTTTTGCACTGACTCCCGCAAGGGCCTGGTCATTCTTTGACTGCCCGTTAACTTCTATCTAACTTAGCTGTCTGTAGTAAAAGAAAGAACACCTTGAATTCCTGCAATGTTATTGCCCAGTTGATTGATGCCTAGGCCAGAATGTACCCACTTAACAGGTAGGATCACTTGTTTGCGTTATGCACATCAGTGTTTTATTTATGGAATTTCAAGACGACAACTGTCAGTAAGGAAAATAGAAGGAAAAGAAGGGGTGGAATAGAGGATGACTTCTAGAAAGACAACTAATAGTGCTCACCAAATGAACGTTAATAACCAAACTGCACAGTGATAGGATAAGAAGGGAATTTAGAAATCAATCTCAGCTAAAGCACAGACATGGAAATCCCATATACGACATTGGTGAATCAAATACCTCAGAATAAGGGGCTGGGGATTTAGCTCAGCGGCACAGCGCCTGCCTGGCAAGCATCAGGTCGTGAGTTCGATTCCTGGTACCAGAAAAAAAAACAACAACAAAGAAACCAAATACCTCAGAATAATGACAATAAAGAATTATGACCCAATCAGATTTATCCCTGAAATTTGTTACATGAACTTTTAATAAATATTGTGTATTTGTCTTCCTATGTACTTGTCCACAGTAAAGACAGAACAAAGTAAGGATCCTGCGATCACCACTTTTGTCTGACATCTCTTGAAGGTCCTAACCAAGGCACAAACCAAGAATGAGCGAGGTTGTAGCTCAGGGTTCGAGGCTTGCCTAGAACACAGGAAGGCCCTGAATTTGGTTTCCCAGCAACACCTGCACACAGGCGATAGAGAGAGAAAAAGGAGGAAATAAAATTATCACTTAGGGATCAGATTGAGTAATGGAAATGTCAGATGGTCCAGGTAACTGAACATCAATGTAAGAATTTGGGAGATTGCTGGGTATATATCTACATATAAAGATCAGCAGCATTACTGTTGAGCAGGAAGAAAAATTGCAAAAATGTAAGTTTTTCAAATTTCATTTACAGTAGAATAGAAACTTACGGGTATTATGTAATAATCCAAAATATGCAAAAAAAAAAACTTTTTGGAGAAAAAATAGAAAGCATTTCTTGAGATCATTTAAAAAACCTGAACCGGGCATGGTGGCGCACACCTGTAATCCTAGCACTCGGGAGGCTGAGGCAGGAGGATCGCTGTGAGTTTGAGACCAGCCTGGGCTACAAAGTGAGTTCAAGGCCAGCCGGAACTGCATAGTGAGAC